TCAGTCTGAACATGGGGATAGTAGGGAAACAGCACTGGCCGTCCAAGCTGCCCGCCAAATAAAAAGTTTCGCGCAATTTTCCTGAAATTCCTTCTGACCGAAAAAAGAGCCGGCCTGACAGCCATGTTGGAGCATCGATAAACTCGATTTCAGCAGCAAATTGTTGTTGTTTTTCGAAGAAGCGAGCAAGCTTGTTCTGCCTCTAAGAAAATAGTCTGTTCACTTCCAATGACAATGTAAATATGTCGGCATAGGAAGTCGACTACGCTCTACAACCTGGTGGTGGTCCTGTCAACGGAGCTTTTGTCTGGAGATGGCTTGGCTTGCACACCGTGCCAGGTGTCATTTCGCGTCATCTGCTAACAGGAACCAATAGAACTTGCCCCAATCGACATCTGCCTTGACACGACCTTCACCGGCTGTTAGTAGGGTAACTTGGGAAGGGTGTCAGCCAATAGAACAACAGCAGAAGTAGTCTAACAGCGCTCATTGGCCAGTCCAATATCGACTATCCATCATCGTGAGTTTTTTTGGTTCCTCCTCGATACTGGCTAGTTAAATTGGGTTATGAGTACGGTTAGTCACTACTCGTGAATAAGTTGTCGGTGGACCTCCTTAAGCACTAGCAAGAAGCCAATGGAATCGAATCCAAATCAAGAAGGATAATGTCCGCAGTGTAGATTGGAACCAGCAACAGCTCCCTCGTACCAAAGAAAGAGCAAACGTCCCACAACTCCAATAGAACTTAAACCAAAAGAGGCATCATTCCATAGACATCATTCCGTTGAAATAGAATCGAATCAGAATCCTGAGGACAGATCACCATGTTGTTCAGCAAGCCAACTACGGAATCAACCCGGCATTACTACTCCAAGGACAAGTTATTTGAAAAGTCGCTGGATATTTACAAGCCAATTGACAATGACAACAATAAAGGAGCTAAAGATGATGCCTCCAAAGAAGAAGATTTGCCCATTGTGATTCTGGTCGTTGGTTCTGGCTGGGTTGGACATCGCGCATTTGTGTATGCCGGGACTTCTTGGTGGAATTCCAGCGGCCCCAAGACCATTGCCAGTTTGGGTACCACATGTGTCTGCATCCGTCATCGAGGAGCCTTTTGTGTTTTGCCCCAGAGGGAAGTTGTGGTCCAGTATTTGACGCTGCTATTTGCCACGGTGGGAGCTATTACGGGCGGTCATTGGGATGTGGCACTCGCAGTGACAGTGCCATTGGCTGTTTTGCTCATACTCCTGGCTCTAGGAGGCAGAGGAAGTGCAACTTTGGATGATATGCTCGAAGATGTCGTCGAAGCAATCCAGTGGATAGACAGTCATCGAGACTTGTTGGAGTTGCATTCATCGTCATCGGTTCCAACTACAACAAGTACCAGCGTTGTTGGCAAAAAAGACAGCATGGACAGTACACAATCTCAAACCACAATCCCCTCGGAAACATCCACTACTTTGTCTGCATCCACCGGGTCGTCCGACTTGTCGTGCTCGGATAACGGCAACACGAAGGAACAACCAATGGAACCTGCCACAGATGCCAGCAGGAATCCTCGCGCTGCAACGCCCATGGTCTTTGGGGGCTACTCATCAGGAGGTCATGTGGCTACCACTCTCTTGCATCAGCCAAAACGCTTCCAAAAACATGGCTTGTCACCACCCGAAGAGCTCTTTCAGGGCATTTTGGTCATTTCGGGAATGATGGCGGTGCGACCAGAACGCATCACAGTGCAGGATTGCAAGACCCAACAACCAATTACCATTGCCACTCCATCTGGCTTGCCCACCTTCTTGACCAACCTTGTGTTACAGACTGTATGGGGTGCCGAAACAGCCAAACACATCCCCTCCCCCCTGACCCAAGCAAGACCTCCTCCGGCACTGCCGCACCTTCTGGTGGGTTGTCGCAACGAAATGTTTGGTCTCAACTGGCTCGATGTCTACTTTTGTTCCGCCGAGTATCGCGACAAGGTACAAGCCCTCACGGGACAAGTGGCAAAATATGTACAAGTAGAATCCGATCACTGGAATGTTTTGAGTAGTACGGCATTACGAAATGCCTTGCAAGAAGAGTTGCCACAGTTGGTGGGGGCCAAGAAGTAAGAAACTATCAAAGTTACATGCTCAACAGTATCGCCATGAACATCGCGCCATCGTTGCACGTACCGGCATGGAAAATGCAGCCTAGATAGTTCACTCACGACAGAAGCGGAGATCTGCATGCAACGTCCGCCCTGGTACATGTATAATATCGCTCATGCCGTCTGTTCAATTTTGTCTCAGTCCTGATTAGGAAGAGCAAATGTCTTCTCGGATTCAAACCGCTGCTTGAGTTTTTGAACGCTCTTTGGTGTGCAGCTTTCGGTATACAACCGGTACTCTAGAGTACGCTGTACAGTACAGTACCGGTACTAGTCTCTATTTCGTCTCCCGGAGACGACTTGCTTTAGGGGTAAGGGTACTGTTGGGGGCAGAGGTTTGAATTATACCCGGCGTGCAATACTTAGAGGCCTCTGTAGAAGTCTACGTATTTGACTAGTATTGTATTGACGGGATACAGTCAACGCATGTACATGCACATGAAAGTCGCCTCGCTTTTCACACAAGTTTCGCATGAATGAGCGAGGGAGCTGTTTCGGGAATACTGTTTCAGGTGTTGGTAATAAAAGATTTATGGAAACGGAGACGACCCAGGGGGCATATGAATCAAATGTCTGGCGAGCTCCTGTCAACAGCTCTGCCGGCATTAATCTCAGCGGCAAACATCCAAAAATGCGGCATAGCGAGACCACCAGCAAAGCAGCACCATGGCGCTGCCAGCAAAGTTCATCGTAGCAAGTCTGACGATACTCGTCTTGCTTGAGACACACTTGTCGAGTACCGAAGCCTTCCTGTTTCCCTGGGGAAGTTTCCCTCTTGGTTCGAATCTGAATCATGCAAGCACATTACCAGACCGCCCCCAAGTCGCTTCGAAGCTCTATCTTCACCACGACGACAATAAGTTCACGAGCAAGTTCGTCGAATGTCCTTTGCTTGAACAGCCCGTTGATGTGTCTGGTACAGCCACTTTTGCCATGGGATGATTTTGGGGCCCTCAGCGTGACTTTGATCGGCTGGGGGATGAAATTATAGATACGGTCGTCGGCTACACTGGTTCCCAAGATCCTGCAACAAAGCGAAACCCCACGTACAAGAAGATTCTTGACTACGCCGAAGCAATTCGAATTCAGTTTGATCCTTCCAAAGTTACCTACGAGGATCTTCTTGGATTGTTCTTCTACTACCACACGCCCGAAGATCCAGAATTTTGTGGCAGTCAGTATCGCAGCGCAATTTTCTATCATACAGAAGAGCAACAAAGGTCAGCAGAGAAGGTTGTGGAGAGTTGGGGTTCCTTTGGAAAGCATGTCGCTGTCGAGCCGGCGAGTGACTTTTATAGAGCTGAAGAGAGACATCAGAAATACATGGAACGGTTTTAGTGCAGCAGATTGTATACTTGGAGCACGCAACAGTGTACTACCAGGAACAAGCTTGGTTGCCACGGTAATTGATGCGACGGTCTCTTCGGAATGACGAAGTTATGATGTGGAACCACTGACCTTTGCTTTGGCTGGTTGCTATTCCAAACAATGCATCTTCACTTCTGAGATGAGAAGAGACCCTGTTACCACTTTCGCCGCAGCTTCTTCGCCTTTCCCGAACAGTCTACGTAGAACCACCCAAGCACGAAAGTAGTACATGATTCCGAAATGTGCACTTTGCGACTTTCTCTTTCTACGGATAGCCATAGCTAGCTAGACATCAGAATATACCCATGTAGCCGAGGGAAAGTTGCGGCCTATTTGGGGCAACCTAAATTACCAGTACTTCTCAGGCTGTCCTACTTCGGCTACAGGAGACACGGAACATGCACCAACCTACTCGGCTTTTGAGAGCTATCAGCTTCACGTGCAGGTACCAGGTACCAGGGGAACAGTTCTGCAGATGGCCTCCGTAAAACATACCGGTATGGCCGGATGAAAAGAAGATTGATGCCACCAACATCTGGTGTTTCACGATGCACAAAACACGATGTTTCAATCTCATGCGAGTGTTCGAGAATCTGGCATTCTTCTGTCACCCACCACGAAGACATCCATCTCTCTCTTTTTCTAGCTAAGAAAATTATTTTAGTAAGACAGGCCTCAGCCCCATTGGTACCGGTACCATGGTACCCACCCATCTGAAACAAGTGAATGTTGCCTACAGGCACGGGGATGTACTGTATACATTCCAAGCAAGGAAAGAAATTCTGCATACTGTACTTGTAGCAAGGCAAGGATGCAGGTCACTAAGGGGATACCCAAAATTTGATAACCACCACCTCCTGCTTTCATTTCTGCCCTGGAAACTTGTTTGGGGTGCGTCCATGAGCCTCTCCAAACCAAAAATTAGTCTCAAAATGGGTTGTGATTTCACACGTCCAACAGCTAACGTTATCTAAATCAAGAGGGAGAATCTCGATGTTTTTTGCGGAAGATTCTTCAATCGAATCGAGTGAGTCGACCGGATCTTTTGCCCTTCTCTTCTCGTCTTTGACGGTTTTGTCATTGCCTCGGCACAACAGCCACTTTGACGAGAAGACAGGGCAAGAGCTGATCAGATAACCATGGCGTCCAAGAAACCCGACGCTGTGACAAGCGCCAAGGTGGCTACAGGCCATGTTAAGGTAGCTGGTTCTTCCAACAAGCAAACGCGATCCGTTGGATTCAAAGGCAGCAACAAAGAAAATGGTTCTTTGGCCAACGGCCGCCTACAAGAACCAGGGATGGTGTCTTTGGCCGATGACGAAAGCGTCCGTCAGAAGACAGTACCAAGAAGCCACCAAGATAATCTCAAGATGAAGGAAAAGGTCAAGAAACGCCTCTCCCATCCAAAGACACCATCTTCTGCCAAGAAACGAGCCAAGACAAGCCCAGTTGCCGGCGTCAATGTGGAGCAGCCAGTAGAAGCGGTTGCCGCAGTTGACTTTGACTTTCATCAAACCATTTTGCCCATTTTAAAGTCGTGTGGATTTACCAGTTCTTCCGCAACAACCCACTGGTACGCTCACCCTGATATTCAAGATAAGTTTCGCAACGCGAAGGATCTTCGCTGCTATTTGTGCAAGCATGGCATCCCAAACGTTGATTCCCTGTCGGAAGAATACAAGCTAGTGGTGGAACACTGGGTGAAATTCGCCAATTCTCCCTTCCCGGACGCCAATTCTTTGGAATCGATTCCACCCAATGAACAAATCAAAAAGATTCTTTCAGCGTTGGGGTTCGAGTTTGTCGTGCGGGGTAGCAAGACTATGATATTCTCCCCAGGAGTATCGACGATGTTCAGTCACGGCAGTGTGGTTCTTCAAAAGGGAGTTCACTATTTCGATAATCTGGAGGATGCCCGTGTCTATGTTCGTGCCAACGAGATTCTTCCCATCCAAGAACCCGCCGTGCGACGCACCCGCAGTCACAGAAACAACTCGGCATCCCAGGAAGAACCGATCATCCGCCTCTGGGCGGCCAACTCGCTTCAGCCGCTTCCAGTTTTTCAGAAACGACCTCCCATCAAGCAAGAAGAAGAAGAGGAGCAGGACAATAATAATACGGAGGAGTCAGAGTCGACCAAAAAACCAGCTGCACGGGTACAGCAGCAAACAACTCGGATTGCAGGCGAGAATGCGGGGCAACTAGATCATCAGGCCCCGACGGGAGAGAAGGGATCTGAAGAGCCGGTCCAAACCACAACAGCGCCAGTCCAAGGCAAACTAGAAGATGGCGTCAATGACGCGGAGCCTGTGGTTTCTTTGGAACAAGGAGGCGATGCAGCCGAGAAGCTGAAACAATACCAAAACATCCGCAAGTATATTTTGGTGCAGCGAGTTTGGCGCGACGACATGCTGAAGGCGCACAAAATGCCACTGAAGAAGGATGCCGAGATTCCACTTACTCCCGCCGGAGAGGGCGACGACATTGACACGGACATCTTCAAGTTGAAGCGAAAGTTGGACCACGTCCAAAAAGAAATCGAATTCTTCTTGGAGTGGAAAGCAAACTGACAAAGATACAAACCGACAGGAAGACACTTACTTACTTGGACAGTCCATTCACTTGCTTGGTAACCACGGACTACGATACTGACGAGAAAAACAAAACCTAACAAAAAATCGACGGAATGATGATCATCTATGGGGAGAACACGAATATACACAATAACACTTATATGCCTTAGTGCATGCAGAGTGCCTTACTAGTACTTGTAGCTGCTTGCAGACTTCTGAAGTAGAAATATAGGAACTACGATGTCTTAGTAAATTTCCGTTTGTCCTAGCTAGCTAGACCGAACAGAGGTCGCACACCCGGGCCATGAATGGAATACATGTACGATGTCCCCAACGTCATTTGATGATCACTCCCTGATGGTTCTAACTGCATTGTTCCTCTTGTTTGCTGTGTCCTGCTGTGTCTCTGGCCTCGTTGATCTGTCATTGCAGCGAGTTGCATTCATCCGCATTTTAAAGATGCAATTGATCCACGGTTGTTTTCCAGACTAGCTAGAAACTAAAGATAATATATCTTTCAACCATCATGTACCTATTTTCATCATATTTTCATTTTTATTGCTATTTAATAAGATCCAACAATGGATCCAACTACGCTCTTCGCGGGCACAACGGTCTTTACCTTGGTCTTACCTAAACCATACAAGGGACGCAACATAATAAGGACACAGCACAGATCAGAAAAGTCGGCTGACGATCAAGTCTCAAGCAACCGACAATCAACTAGAAAACAAGCTTTAACGACAACATCATGAAGATTTCCCCTACCACAACTCATCCTCTATCATCAGCATGTCTTATTGTATTGCTCGCCAAGTCGAATTTGACAAGAGCCACATATTCCATCGTGGCCGTGGATCGAGAGGATCAATTTATTGGGGGAGCTGGCGCCACTTGCGTCCAAGGAAGAAATGTATTGGCCGCCCTTTATCATGGTGTTCCAGGATTTGGTGTCCTCCACACCCAGGCTGTCACTCTGGAAGGTGATTCTGAGGCTGTTTTGACTGCTCAAGACATGATTCAGAATGAAGAAGATCCTGAGATAATTCTGGAAAGAATGCGAAACCTCGACAACAATACCCTTCGCTCCCCAATCTACTTGGACTTGTACGGCTTTCCCGACACTGTGCCAGACTATGAGTTTCGCCAGAATGCAGTTGTGGATTTGAAAGGTAGAGCAGCTGCTTACACAGGACCTAGCATTGCGCCCTTGTACGAAGCTCTTGGCACTTTTGGCACATCACAAGAAGACAATCAGGGGACCATTGGAGACCGCTTTGCTTACTCGGTCCAGGGCAACGTAGTAGAAGAACTCACTGTGTCGGTCGTGGCTAAGGGTTTTGCAGGCCTGCACGACCCTCGGGGAGAAGGATGCGATCTACCTGATCGCATGATGATTGCCTTGCTGGCTGTTCCTGATACCGGTACCGATAGTGGGGATGCGCGTTGTATTCGTGCGGATCTGGATCCTAAAGAAGCTGTGGGAACCCCAGCGGCAGGGGCCTTTATCAAAGTAGAAGCAGCGGACTCCACTGTTTTGCTGGAGCTTAACGTTATTGGTGATGGGGTGAAGGACCCTACTGTTGAGCTGAAGTCAATGTATGACGACTGGCGTCTTCGAAATCCGTGTCCCGGTGGATCCACGGCAACCACTGCATCGTCTGACACAATCACTCCAACTGCAACAGATGCCCCGACTCCAGCTGCCCATTCCAGTGGAGATCCTTGCAGCAGCCAGATAGTGTCTGCCAGTGTCACTGTGGGAACAGTTCTGATCTCGTTTTTGGCCTCTAGCTAGGAGCAAATGTCCCAAAAGGTCAAAGCCACAGAGGTGGATGTTTGGAGTCAGCTTTTTTAGCAACAGGAACTTTTGCCACAGTTGAGTTTTTCACCTACAGAATCGAAAGCCGGATGGTATTGAACCCATACTTGCTCCGGTATCAAGGCCTCTGTGAGTCCTGTGTGGAAATTTTCCCTTCTTCATTGTTGATGGAATGTACGGTCCCGACAGCAAACGCCCCATGCAATCCTTCCGCAAGTCAATTTGGACAAAACTCAAAGCGCAAATCATACTCCTGGAGGTATCCTCTTTGATTGATTACGTTTATGTTTTCCATAAGCCGATCTCGGGAAGTTTGTGCAAGATGGGTCCGCTAAAGGTTGGAATTTCTGGGGGAGGGGTAGCCCCCCCAAGCTGGAACCCCCCTTCCTTTCATCACAAAAGATCGGGTTCGCGGCGACCGACGACCGACCCGTTGCGGTGGTGCATGGATCCGAGCAGTCTCTTATCAATTGTTGCAGCTCTGGCTGCCCATTTCCTACCCTGGCTATCTGTCTGAAGCAATGTAGCACATATACTTGGACGGCTATCCTTGTTATTGACAGCGGTTCATTAACCCAGACAACAACAATTAGCACTTTGCGAAGAAATCATGACAGTCGACTCGAACGAGACTGTGGATCCCGACGAGTACGATCCACTGGAAATTGACGTCGACGACATTGAATCTTCCCATCTGAGGAAAGTCGAAAACTGCACGCCGAAGGAATCTGTACGCCGACGAAGAACGTCCGTGCAAATTTGGAAAGAGATTCAAGCCGAAGAGCGAAAAGCGAAGGAAGAGCGCTGTCCGTTGGCAGCAGTCCCCATCTGTTGCTATGGGTACGCCAGAAAACACCCTGGCTGCTCTCAGTGTGCCGACCGAGACCGGGAACACATTCGAGAATTTCGAATGCTGGCTCAGACACACGTCAACGTATATTCATGGATTGCGCTGGATCCTCGAGAGTTTGTGGCGAGGCTACCCAGAGATGGTATCATGATGTTCTTGGGAATCTCCATACAGGTTCTGGTGCCCACAGCCATTGGAGTCCAGCTATATCGAAAGTTGGACGGAGAATTATGCCATCATGATCACGAACAAACGGATTTAGGTATCCGAGGACTGGAAATCACAATGGCCTGTATCCTTTCGCTATATTTCGGAATTGTCAGTGTCAACAGTTTCCTTGGAAAAGTCAGGGGAAATGCCTTCTTGTTCTTCTTTTCCTCCATTCAAAGGAAACGCAAACTCATATTGCTTTTGGGATTGATGGCACAAATGGCGGGTCTCATCGCTGCCAATGTGGCGGAATATCTTCTCTTTGTCTTTCGAGGGGCGGATGATTTCCTGCTGCTGCTGTTCACATCTACAACCATGCTAGCTACCCTGAACGCAGACAGCAGCAATTTAGTCTCTGCCAAACAAGCAATTGACGCAGAAAACATTATCGAAAAAATTCTTTCCGACGAGGCCATGGATTTGGGCGAAAATGGCACACCTGATATCCCCAAGGATCTTGCCAGCGGCCTCGACGTATTTCGCAAGTTGTACGATGGAATGGCCTTTTCGCTTTTTATCTTTGTCATTCTGCTCACTGGCTTTGTCACATACTGCGTCTAACCAAGCAAAAGAAAAGCAGCGTCCAAATGCCATTATGCATAGTTCCTCCTTCTGCTATGGAACAGTTCAGAGGCTGCCCGTTTTTTAAAAGCATCAGGTACGCAACACCAACTCTTTCTATATGTACCCTTAGCTCTTTTCTATCTCACCGTGGTATCTTCTCGATATAGTACTTTGTTGCAATCTGTTTGGCCTTCAGACATAAAACTACGTCGCATCGGTTCCTGAGCTCACCATTCGGCATACCCGTACCGGTATGACACGACGCCCGAAGAAAAGTTAAGAATTCAATCTCCTTTTACAGAGATAGATTGACCGGCTAGTCTGTTGGAAACTGCCAGCATCAAGCATGAAATACTAGTAGCAACAGTCTGACAGCATTTAGAAAACGTGATCTTGCACATCTTCCTGAGGTCTGCCCAATCAAGTTGCCCCATCGCCCATTATAATATTCAGTCCTCCTCTCGTCACTCGACTCATCGAATCGCGCACCTTCTGGCAGTCATTCCCACGGTACCGGTACCGTACCGGTACCGGTACCAATGGATACCGTGGAGAAAAACTCATCTCAGCGACCTCAATCAATCCAATTCGATCTGTTCCAGCACCATGACAACGGTCACCGTGAGCGGTGCACACAACACGATCAACAACACCTCTCACTCAACAAAGCTCTCCTCTCTCTCAAAAGCCACAGCAACAACATGACGAATCGTCAGCCTTTGGCCGAAACCACAAATTCAACTAGAGGACTTGGTGGATCCGGATGGAACGGAGGGGGGCCGCCGTCGATTGCGGATTTGTTGAAGGTGATGAATGAACGGTTTGACCGAGTGGACGAACGGTTTGACCGAGTGGACGAACGGTTTGACCGAGTTGAATTCACTCTCAATCCGATGTCGTGTGACAATTTCCATGCCATCCCTGTGATTGGGGCTGAAGCTCACACGCTCACAGAAGGGAAACAGGCAACCTATACCTGGTTTGATTACGGGGGCACATGTTGTATCGTTTGTGCTGCCCATTGTGCCATTCCGATTGCCACTACTGGGAACTGCATGTTCATTGAACTACCTCAAGCGATTACTATGTTGGGCGTCGAAGGCATTTACTTGGTAGACCCCTACAACCCAGATTTCAAAAATCCACTGCCTGTACACAAGGATCTGATTGTCATCAAGGTAAAGTCACCCCCTCCGTCTGGGAGAACTTTACCGCAGTTTACCAAAGTGACACAAGAAAAAGCAAAACAACCGCGAAGGACACGAATTGTTGGCCGAGGACTCGGAAGCGTTGTTTCTAGCCGTGATGGTACCCTTGTTTCGACGAGTAACGTTGAGTCTGGCGGCCACTTGCGGTTTCTACTCGATCAAGGAGAACCTGGTGACAGTGGAACGCTTTTGCTCGTCAAGGACGAGCTTGGAGGTTTTCATGCCCGTGCTATCTTTTGTGGAATTCAGGCCGGTTTGACTCCACAGCATTCTCGTCGAGGGCAAGCAACGATTCTGCCACCGTTGGATTGTCTTACTTGGCTCCCAGTCGACCCTTTTCAGATGAATGCTACAGGAACAGTCAATGTCACGTGTGGAGTCAAAGCTGACGCCACAATTTACCTCAAAAACCTCAATTGCAGTGCTATTGCAAAAGTAGCATTTGGTCTAAATGCAGTTGATCTGAAGGACAGCAATGGCACTGTGAAGCATGGCGTATTTGTGAGCGTGGCGCAGCAGATCAATTATGTTGGGGCGGCCGATCACTACGCGATGAACGGACAGTTGTGAGTGGGAACAGTTGTGAGAGGTACATGTACAATAGATTCATTAGGGAAGTCACTGAGCTTTGGCCGATGGTGAAAGGCAGAACCTGCCTGCAAGCATGGAGGAAGCTCAAAAACCAAAGTTGCACTTTAAGGTTCCACCCCTGCTCTCCACAATGCACCCAGTGCGATTGGGGCCACTTCCTGTCCTTGAGCTTCCAGAAGGGCAATGGGCAACACAATGTGGTGGGCATTCACATGCGGACCGCCAACCCAACGGACCAAAGCTGCCTCATCTCCATCAAAGAACATGAAAGCTGCCGTTGCCATTCGGACACGGTGCGGATCCACTTCCATCATGTTTTCCCAGTCATCTAGGTATCCCCAAAGGTCATTGAAGTCCACGTCAGCAAACTCATCGATCAATTTGAGAAACAGTTTGACATCATCATCTGTGCCCGCCATCGTCTCCCATTTTTCACGCGTCATAAAGCCAGACTTCCACAATGGTAGCAGAACATGGCGCCGAGTAGGCTCGGTACGAAACCACTGGTTAATTGGCTCCTTACCGTTGGGTTTGTCTACCATTGCTTGAACACGAGCATTACGCTTATGCATAGTTGCGACAAAGTCATTTAGTTCTTTCTTTCTATCAATTTGCAGATCTTTCCAGCATAACGTAACACACCAATTCACCAGAAGTACAGTATCTTATAACCAAGCTTTGAGGTACAGATACAGCTGTATGGTACCGGTACCGTTGCGGACGGTACTGCGGTACACCGTACTAGTGGGGCTTCGGACAGTTTGCGAACCCGAGAGGGAAAAAACGGTCGCGCACGATTTCAGGCAGGACTGGACGACGGAAGAAGCTCTGCGCTGTTCTTCACGGAAAGCTCACCATAATCAATTGTCTCAGTCCAGTTGCCTTTCTTCGAAAAGATATTGAGTACTGGTACCAGTACCACTGCAGTACCAGTACCAGTCCAGTAACGTACGGCTGCATGGATCCAAGACTTTTGCTGGCCACCCGCAGCAATCTCATCACAACCTTTGAGAACAACAAAGAAACAGCTCACAGACACTCCAGAAGAAGTGGCAACATGGATTCAATTTCTCCCCCAGAGCCGACAAAGATCGACTATGATGCGGCGAAACTATATGACCGCGAACCTCAGCTAAGGGAACTTCAGGATGCTTACAGCCGATGTCGTCAGCCCTCGGCAAAGTCCGAGTTGGTGCTGATCACCGGGGCCTCGGGAACGGGCAAATCTGCCTTGGCTCGTTCTCTGGCGCCCAAAATCGAAGAGGAGGAAGGCTTTTTCCTCAGTGGGAAATTCGACGAACAAATCCACAAACCTCACGGCCCTTTCCTGGCGGCGGCCGAGGAATTCTTGACACAAATGGCATACCGTGACAGTCAAGTCGCAAAAGCAATAAAAGAAAGCATCACAGAAGGAGTTGGATCCGAAGTGTTCATCCTTGTAAAGGCTATACCTGGTCTCGGCCAGTTTTTAAATACCAAAGAAGAACAACCAGAACCCTTGTCAGATGCCGAAACTTTGGATGAATCTGTTGCTAGTGGAATCGATTTGGACAGTTCCTCAAGTCATTCCTTCAAAGTGGGCATGTCCACACCTAACCCGGCCAGATTTGTGGCCGCGTTTTGTCTCTTTCTTCGGGCCATTGCTTCTCAAAAACCAGTTGTGTTACTCTTAGACGACGTGCAGTGGATTGACGAATCTTCCTTGGATATCCTCACTGCTTTGGTGACTTGCAGCCATGGGCAAACAGCGCAACAAAATTTGCTAGTGGTAGGAACCTGTCGCGGAAATGAAGTGGGCAAGCATGATGTGCTGTCGATAAGGCTGCGAGAAATTGATGACAACGAAACCGCCACCATTACGGACATACAGGTACACAGCTTGACACAGTCTGCAGTGGCGTGCCTGCTGGCGGATGTCTTGGGCTTGTACTACTCGGAAGTGCTTCCACTGGCGGAAATTGTAACGGGGCACACAGGCGGAAATGCCCTTTTCGTCAAGCTATGCCTACAAGGTCTCGTGGATGACGGCGTTCTATATCAAGAATTGGGAAAATGGAAATGGGACGAAGCTGCGCTGGTGCTGGCTCTACCAACCTCCAGCGCCATTTTGATAGTTCCCTTGCTGGCAAAGAAACTTCGACAATTACCCGCTGATGTTGGTGTGCTCGTCAAGACCATTGCTTGTCTTGGGAGTACCTTTTCCGAATTTATTTTATTCCACGCGGGAACACTGGTTTCGTCACAAGTTCTCCTGGCCTTGGGGGTAGCTGCCGACAAGGGATTCGTCGTCTACGACGTGAATACAGGGATGGGTTGCTGCACTCACGACAAATTCCGAGAGGCCGCCCTGTCACTGATTCCATCCGACGATGAAAGAGATCAATTCCATTTAAAGATTGGTCGCAATCTACGTCGCCAGCTGTCAACGGAAAAGGTCAAGGAACACATCATCCTCATCGCCGACCAGCTCAAACATGGCCTCAATCATCTTTCGGATCCTGAAGAAATGGATGATTTTGCTCGAGTTTTCCTTCGAGCAAGTAGGGAGGCTGCCAAGAAATCGGCATTTTTGGCTGCGTCGGAGTACATCGATTGTGGCCTCCATGTACTCAGCAATCGTCATTGGCGAGATCAGTACAATCTTAGTCTTGATCTCTACAGTACAGGAGCTGAGCTTGCATACTGCATTGGAGAACATGAGAAAGTAGATGCTCTAGCAATCGCAGTGAGCCAGAATGCTCGCTTCACTCGGGACAAAAACAGAGCATTGGTCACCCAACTGATGTCCCATGCATCCAGTGGGCAACCAGAAAAGGGTCTTGATCTCTGTTGGACAACGTTGAAAGATTTGAAGGAGCCAGTCCCCCGCCAGCCTGGTCTCATGTCTGTCCTTCTCGAGATAACGCTCGTGAAGCAGGCAATTGGCAGCAAAACAGAAGAAGACATTTTGGCGCTTCCTGAGCTGCAAGATGCCCGAATCATTGCTGCAATGAAAGTTCTCTATGTTATGAACAACATCTTAGAAAACTGCAAGAGTGAAGAAAGTGCAATGCTGCCAGTCCTTCGATTGGTACGACTGAGTTTCAAGCATGGATTGAGTCCACTGGGTAGGTCAAGTCTTCTGCAAAACATTTCGATTTGATGACAGTGAATCGTTCTGACAGGTTTCCTTTGACTCTGCCATCGGCCCTCAGCTGCACTTGGTTTCCATTTGTACGGCCTGTACCTCGTGAAATTAGGCCAATTGGACGATGCATACCGCTTTGGCAGGTTGGCAATGAGAATTCTGGAGAAGTTTCCATCAAAGCAATTGGAGGGGCAGATCATCTTCCTTTTCTATCTAATCATTCAGGCATCAAAGTCTTCTTTTCGGTCTATCTTGGAACCCATGGTGAAAGCTGGTGACTTGGCGATGGAGACAGGTTTTATGGAGGTAAGCATCGCACTGGGCTACACGGGTGTTTCTCTTCCCCAAGGGCACTATTGTCTCAAACAGGCCTTAATCCCAACCCATGATTGGATAGCATGGAATGGCAGGCACTATCTTTTCGTCCTGTTTCCGAATGTTTCTAGGAGATTCAATTCCCTGTTGCATGAGCATGCTGGCCAAGTATGAAGGTCTCTGTGGAACCTATAGGCAACGCAAGCTTTGGTTTGTTGCATCTTGCTCCTTGCAAATCTGCCAGAACTTGACGGGTGGAGCCAGAAATCCACTGAGTTTAACTGGTGACTGGTTGATTGAAGAAGAAGCCATTCAGCAACTGCAGGGAAATCTAGAACACGTCCTGATCATATTGCTTCATTGCAAGTACATGATGCTAGTGACCATGAATGAGAACCTGTCTGCAGAAACTCTGCACAAGAAGCATGCAGCACACTTTCAGGGATTCATCCTTCCTTTTTTCACAGTATATCATATCTTCTTTCGAGGTCTGGCATTGACGGCACTTGCTAGAACATGCACTGGTTGGAATAGGCGAAAGAAACTTGCAGAAGCAAAACGGCTGCGATCGAAGATGAAGAAGTGGCTAGAGCATTGCCCAGACAATATCACCAACAAACTGCATTTGATGGATGCAGAACTGGAATTTTGCCAGGGTCGGTTTTCTGCAGCTCTATTGAAATATGAGCAGGCCATTGCATATGCGAGAAAAGAGAATTTCATCAGTGATCAGGCAATCTCTTGTGAAAAGGCTGGGAGGATGCTCCGGCACGCTGGGAGACTCTCAGAAGCGGCTGACTACTTTCAGCAGGCCAGGCAGTTGTACCAGTCATGGGGAGCTCAGCTGAAGGTGGATCACATTGAAGTAGAACTTGTCAAGACCATACGAGAATAACCTGCCTTTACAACTTTCAAGTAGCCTCTACAGCGGATAACTGAACAATATTTCTTCAGTTATCTCTCAGGAGATGGTATTAGTCTGTCTGAGTTCTCCGTAGAATCTCATCAAAATCGATATAGGGTTCATAGTGATCAATGGCGACACCAACTCGGTTCGTGTCATCAATGTTCAATTTGGGAGTGTATTGGGCAATCATGGATGTGGCTTCATGTGTTGATGTTTCCACAACCATCACCGGAGCTCCTTCCAAACCTTGGAGGAGGTCAGATATCTCAGCAGACAACTGATACTTCTTCTTCCTGCCACAAATCAGAAGAGCTGCTTCAAACTCATGATCTTCTCCATTGGCAATCCTACGCTGATGTTCACCCATGAATCCCACTGAAATCAAATTTGATCAGAGAAAGGGTCGGGATCAAGAGCATGGGAAGGTACTAGTAAGAATCTCAAGAGCGCACATAGACACAAACACTGCTGAGCTTCTGCCTTGACTTTTTGCCTGCAGCTTACCAATGAGATCATCTCGTGTAACATGACAAATATAAAGGGTTCGCTTTGGCTTTTCTCTCAAGTTTTCAAGGAAGCTTCCAGGGGAGAAAAGGGGAGATGAGCCTTCACAATCATTGGAAAACAACCAGCAACAACCCAAAGTTTCCTACCGTGTCAGGTTTGTGGTGACAACATTAATGTCTCCCACATTGTAGTGGCGAAAGCGGTGCTCTTCTCCACAAAGAAGCGTTGTCTTAAAGAGCCGTTCCAAATCAGCAAGGGCGGGACATCCTAGGAAAGGCCGATCTGGGACGCATCCCAGCAGTGGGATACCCCAATTGTTCATCAGTGCTTTTGACATGTATTCCCGTGTTTGGTCGTACTTTTCCACAATGACTTTGTTGATCACAACACCGGCAACGTTCACACCATATCGTTCGCACAAAACCCTGTTCAGTTCCAGCTCGTCGTATGCACTGCCTGTGTCAATAAAGACGCCATGCCATACCAGCCAAAGCGATTGTGTCAGTCGGCAGAAACCCAGAGGATGCAGCCGTCTGCTTGCATTTAAAACGTACCCAGTCCACCGTTTGCAACCAAGAGCTACACACAGTACATGTACGTATCAGTGAGTGAATTGACCCAATCGGCAACGTAATCGGATTTTGGTTTGGTCTTGGTTTCTTACCATGTCGGCACCCATAATACTGGCGACCTTTGCGTTATTGAGACCCACAATGCTTCCTACAGCACAGTGCCCTGTACCCTCGCAGATTGTGATATCACTGGCTGCTGCAACGCTTTCCATGGAGGATTCCAGATCACTTAGCTGCGACTCGAAGGCAATTTTTCCGTCGACATAATCTTTGGTGTATCCTCGTGGAATCAGGATGGGGCTCATGTCTTCATAGTCTAGATGGTCCAGATGGAATCGTTCCTTGACAAGTTCCACGTCTTTATCCACCCGGATCTCTTTCCCAGGCGATTTCAAGGACTCCACTCGCACATGCTGCTGACCAACCGGTTTGATAAAGCCTTTCAGTTTAGTTCGAAAAGCGTGTATGCATGTCAGATGTACCGTATAGAAGTGAACGCCAACACAAAGTAGGCACTGTAGCATGCTCCCGTCCATTCCATCACATACCTATCTTATCAAATCTCTTTTGAATGCCAGATAATACTGCCAGCGACACCGTTGTCTTTCCAACATGTTGTCGGGTAGCAGCCACGAAAATGGGGCGTTGGTAGCGCCCAGTTTCAGGATTTTTGCTCCAGAATCGTTTGGGACCTTCGTCGTCGTTCACAGCAACAACATTGGACGACAATACCCTCTTGGTCGTCGAGCGAGGGAAGCAGGAAGCCGCTTTTCTCCAAGGACGATGGATGCTTGATGGGGATAACATGTTGGCTTCAATACTATCTATCTAGCTATATGTTATCGGAACAACTGATGGTCAAGAATGTTGTTTCTCTGTTCGCTTCGCTCTTGATTCTCGGCCGTTCCTCGATGGATCGGAAGGGCGTCTTACGATCTTTGCTTTCGGGTTGCTGACATCACAAAGATATGAAAGATTTGGTATCTTTTTACTGAGTCATGAATAAGGCGTCATGCTTAGAGCGCTAGTTAGTCACGAATGACCTCAGAAAAACAAAGGCAAACGTTTTCTTTTTCACTCGGACGAGAGGAACAAGCATCGACCAAATGCGTTTGGAGAATGGCAAGGTACCGTATAGTCGTCCCGAAGTAGTCTATTAATCTATTACAGTACCTTATAATAGCTTTACAATATGGTGAAACATTCTGTGTTTGGCGTGGAGCGCGACATTGACATTCCAGCGAATGAGTTTCCAACCGAGTCGGAATTGGAGGCCATGGAAGCGCCCTTGACGGCAGCTGGCTGTCAGCATGAATGGTTTGAATCCACCCACGACAATCTGCAGCTTCACATTCGGAAATATCTGCCCTCTGATGATAAGAAAAATCCCAAAGCGATTGTCATTTTTATGCACGGCTTGCAATCTCATTGTGGAATGGCCTACGTCATGAGCAATGGACGCCTCGTCAATAACGCACTACTCGCCGACCACTACACCAAACTTGGATTTGCGGTATACGCATTCGATCTCGTGGGACATGGCTACAGTGAAGGCGCCCGTCATGTCATGCCCAGCACCACCGTCTTGGAACAAGATTTGGTAGAGTTTGCCAAACTCATCACCAGTCGATACCCAACCGGAACACCGTGGTTTCTCACGGGAGAAAGTCTTGGCGGAAACATTACACTACAAGCAGCCCGATATTTTCAAGATCATCCCGAGGAATTCCCATCTGGATTCCAAGGAATTGTTCTCTTTTCTCCCGCAATCTACCCCGACACCATGTATGCTCCGGCACAATGGTACCTGCAGTTGTGCGTCACACCCTTTATCCCCAATTGGAGACCTCCGGCTTGCATTCCCAATCCTGTTGGCCCTTCCAAAGTGTGGCGAGATCCGGAACGAGTGGCCAAGGGACTGGAACACAACCCCATATCCGCCCATTGCAAGCATCCACCGTACTTATCATTATGGACTTTGACCGTGGCAATGAGGGTGGTGCGAGATCAAAGTATTCCTGGATTGACACTGCCATTTTGTGTGGTGCACGGAGTCAAAGACAGTGCTATACCTGTGGTGGGATCCGAGTATTTAGTGGATAGAGCATCTACCCCAGAGTCAGACAAGGCCCACAAATTCTATGAAGAGGCTTTTCATGACTTGTTGGCGGAACCAGAGGCAGAAGAGGTGGTGACATTTACATCCGATTGGATGAATCAACGCTTGTCTCAAGCAAACTAGACTAATAAAAGGTCGTACGTAACTTTGCTACATCTACACAGCCAGGTAGCTAGAGTGACGGTTATCAAGGACAATACTTTAGAATTTTGCCATCTCAAATTTGCATCTGCATCATCTGTTCGGAATTGAATACAGCACAACTGAGCACATGTAGTACCTAATGGTTTCACGCCTTGATGAGGATCGCGTTGCGATGACTAAAGTAGGTACACCGTACCAGCCAGCTGCAGCTTAGTGAAATGTACCGTAGTCGACGGAGTTGCTGAGATGTGGTGCCTGCACATGCAGATATTTCCAAATGCCTTCGTCATTGTGGGAGGTGGGAGTATCAAGTTGACGGCTTGAAGAAATCCGAGAAAAATGAGACGCTGCGGAGTATCGGATATCAGTACCTAAGTAACTTTGTCACCAAGTTCCGTATCAATTGTCCAGACTTCATAATTTTTCCAATTGGTTCGATTCGCTGGACTCAACTCAACTTCGGCCTACCGGTAGGACTCGCAGCTCTTTTGAGGCCGAAGCACAGCTACCGTATCTAAATGTATGTGCTGCGCAAGGAGGAGCCAAGCTGGCTACCAGTAATAGTCTTTCAACTTGGCGCCAGATGAGGGCTAACAAGACAATAGCAGTGGATCAAGCTTTTGAACGAAGGGGGAAGGATACCGGTATGGAACTGGGGGGCCCACTCCTTGGGATCATCGTGCGGCACCTTCGACGGGGTTAGCGCGACAAGGCTTCCTTGGCATGATGTGAAGCCTGTGGTGACTGGGTCATTGACTGCAGCAAGGGAGATCAGAACGGTTACAAAGAATGCGCAAGAATGAGTATTGGGTGTGCGAGGCACTGGCCTGAGCTACCCTTAGACACAGCATGAGATCTCCGTGGGACCTAGCATACGAATAAGCAAAGTTTGCAAACGGGGGAGTGATCATTGGACTCTTGTTGGGACCACAGAGGGCTAGAGGTTGATGTAGGCTGCCGGTAACATTTGTTCTTTCGCCCAATCACTAAAGCTACTAGCTAGTAAAACTCGAGATCTCCGCCCTGCTCCGATAGTACTGTACCGTATCAATACCACCGAAACCGAACTTTTGCAAGACAACGAATGATTCAATCCATGGAACACCAATCCTTGTCCATGTATGTACTTCTCCATGAAGAAGGCAAGACTTGTCACTGCTAACTTGTTTTCGTACGATGCACCTCTACCGTTACCATGACCTATGCCTATTTTGCTGAGATGCACCCTTGCAGTGAAAACAAGGGACCGGTATCGTAGTCTGTACCATTGCCTCAATGTTACTTCATGTCTTCGTTCTTGCCAAGACACCGCAAAGGAGCGATGTGCATGCCAGCTAGCCTGCCTGCCGAAATAACTCCGGTATGCACACAAGGTCACTCTAGCTAGTAGAACCAACTGATCAACAAATTGCAACGAAAATGCTTCCTGCCGTTGCTGGGCTCGTAGCCAAAATCCGTTATCAGCGACCGGATGTTAAATAAATCGAAATGACGCATCTTTTTTCGCATTCGCTAGCGAGAGCTCTCTACGTAGCTCCGGTACTAAAAAATTTACTGTCTGTCATCAGACGGCAGACAAGGGTAGGAATCAAAATGCCTCATTATTCCTGTTCGGTACCACTATTCACATCCAGTGTGGTGGTGCTACCAACCCAGCAAGGGAGCAGCTGTACTTGTTGGAATTGATATCTCATTTTCTTGCAATCCATTGAACTTGCTGGCACCGCTATCGCTTATCGGTAGCTTCATGCAGTCGAGGATTTGATTGAACAGATCGGATTGATTTTGGCTTGGACAAAATCGTCCGTGCTCCTGGATGATCAGATCATAAATCAAACAGTCAATCCGATTGAATTGAATTGAATTGAGAGAAAGCAACGATCGTTTCTTTATTATTCATTAATTGCTTGGATCTTCTTCTTTGTCTTAGACACTCAACAAACACGGACAAACCACAACAAACAAAATAAAAAATGGGACCACCGGCACTTTTGCACAACTTTCGGGCGACGGCCATTCCCAAATCGCCCACCTTTATCAATGTCTACACCGTGTTTGCGAATCTCTATGCCTTTTTGGCATTGTGGAGTCTTTTCTTGGCGCATCTTTCCAACTTTATCAAGGAAAACTTCTCGTGGTTAGCGCTCGTGCCAGCCAAGAAAGTTACTACTACTACCACTACCAAACTCTTTGGGCGGACTGTCACTCTGGACATTTTGCCCTCCGAGTTTCCTTCGCCGGATGAAATCAAGGCCATGGAAGCAGAAATGCCTCAGTGTTGTCAACATGGCTGGTTCCGTTCCGTGCTGGGTCATCAGTTGCACTACCGATTCTTCTTGCCGCCGTCACACAATAAACCAAAGGCTGTAATCATATGGATGCATGGATTGCAAGGATTTGGTGGCGAAGCTCACACAATTCAATACTCGGATGATGATGGAACTACCACCAAAGAACGCAAAACTAACATGGCATTACAAGCAGAAACGTATCTCAAGGAAGGATATGCTTTGTATGCCATGGACTTGTCAGGGCATGGATTCAGTGAAGGATCACGATGGTTCATGCCCAATGCTGACCTGATGCTGAAAGACTATCTATACTTTATTCAAAAAGTGGTGGCATCCAGACATGATAACCAAACACCATTCTTCTTGTCGGGATACTCCTATGGCGGCTGCTTGACGCTAAAGGCGGCAAAACACCTGCAGGATCATCCAACAAAAGCCACCCAGTGTTTTGCAGGATGTATGCTGCAAGCACCTGCATCCTACAATCTAGAGGCATTCTTTCTGTTTCCACTGGCGGCTTGGATCGCACAGCATCTTGTCAATCCAGTTCTGGGCAACAATTTCCGACCACCGGCATGGATACCCAATCGCGTGCATCCAAGACGCTTTTGGAGGGATCCAGAACGATACCGCGTCGGAATGCGTCCCAATGGTATGAATCCGGTCGGACGACACATTCCCATGCAAACTTGTCTTACATTGATACAAGACATGGTCACACTGCGAAACCAAATCATTCCCAATTTGAAGGTTCCTTTCTGTGTTGCTCACGGAAAGCAAGATGTGGTTGTTCCCATTGCAGGTACCGAGTACCTCCAGCAAGCGTCCTTGACACCCAAAGACGAACAAGCCGTCAAGTGCTTTCCAGAAGCCTATCATGACTTGTTGGGGGAACCCGAGGCAGACGCCGTCATGGAGTTTCAAGTGAAATGGATGAAGGAGCGAATGGCAGCTACCGCTCAGGCTAAAGCAAAACAGGCTGCTTTAACTGCACTACCACCACAACAACAACCAGACATTCATGATCTTATCTGGACAGATAGTCTTTCAAAGGTCCTACAAAAGGTACCGGTGCCAGCTTGAACCAAAGGAAATTGGCCTGTTGGCTTCCTTCGCGCCAACTAACAGCACCAAACAGATTTTGATATATATGAGCATCAATGAACGCTCCTGCTTTCCAAGCTGCAGCACAGGGGTCTACTTGCCATGGACTCCACCGAGGGTTGAAAACTCGGTAGAGACACCATTGATAAAAGACCGCTCCTGTGGCTTGTACATACTAGTTCATGTAGATTAGTCAACCAAGCAATGCTGTCTAGCTAGGGATCAACTAGTTTTCTCTTGATTGAATCGAACCAATCATTCATTTTTCATTTGCTTTGAGTCAAAAGAAACGGTGGGAACACCGCGGTCGGGAAGAAGCTAGGCAGTTGTACGACCGATGTAACCGTACTAGCAGCTACTGGTACCTATCATACTCCACAGTAGAATCCGCTATAGTATAACAGCAAGGAAACCAAGCAGCCTGATCGGATTCCTAACTTCACAATCTAGCTAGTTAGTTTTATGTAAAAGTGAGCTGAACAAACGTGCCGCCATCCGTCTAGTCAACCTTCAGCGCCCCATAGATCTTGGTGTTGAACCAAAAGCTTGTCAAGACACCCACGCTACCGCAGAAGAGTCCAAAGCAAACTGAAATCATGGACATGTCTATAATATATCGAAGACGGAGTTGAGGAACGAATAGAATGATCGCAAAAGCAATGCAGAGAAGGATGAGTTTCAGCAAACACAATATCAAACATAAGCAACAAGCATGAATACTTACAAGTCAAGTAGACAATCACAGGCAGAATTCCAACAAGCTCCAACCGGCTGAAGAGGAACCAAAGGCTGTAGAGGAAAAGGTAAAAGCCAGCCGCCGCACAATTCCAGAAGGACTTCCACCACCAGCGATGATCTTCCACACAAAGCTGCAGGTAGGTCATGACAACTGCAACTTCTGCACAGGTTGCCGCCAAGATGAGCAAAACAGCGAGAAGGAATCCCATGACATAGTAGATTTGGTGCAGCCAGAGGGCACTCATAATGAAGAAGAGTTCAATGCAGACAGATCCAAAGGGCAAGATGCCTCCAAGCAAGAATGATACAGGAGGGCTGCTGTACCAGGGCAACTCTGGAATGTATCGGGCAATTTGGTTTGTTTTTACTGGCACATTGAACCTCTCTGCCCGGAATCCAAAATAGGAACCCACAAACACCAAAGGGGTACTGATACACATCCACATTCCAAACAGTGCCAGGATGGTCAAGAAGCTCACTGCTGTTGCAGCACCCGCAAATGTGAGGAAAATATTCAACACCATAAAGATGCTGACCAAAGATCCCGGCAAGGCAGCTGCTGTGACAACGGTGTTGAACTTCCAGTCAGTGGCATTGCAGAACTTGTACATTCTGGAAGAAATGTACCCAGCAGCAGACCCACTGAGGTTATACAAGATCAGCACCGCAGTCAGGGTGGCCCCCTTTTTCATTGGGTTCAACAACTTGACCATGGCACACATCATTGTCAAGAAGCAGGCGGAACCAATTTGTGCTCCAGTTCCAACCATGACACACAGTGCCAGTGGATAGGAAGACGGCGGGCGAAAGACGTCTCCATGGACAAGTTTCCACCCAGTTTCTTCCTGAGCCTCTGCATAGCCAGTAGATATATAATAATATATTGATAAGTGAGAACTCAGAATTGGGGCAAAACAATCTACCCGATAGAACAGACAGAATGGCGGATTCTCGATCGACAAAGCACGAACCGCAAACAAAGCTTACCTTCCAACGTTTGAATTTCGTTGTATCCAGCAATATCCTGACGCAGCGTTCGGATCATGATGGTCGCAATGGCTCCCGTAAGGAATAGCACAATCATGAGGGAGTTGACAATGGCAAAGAAATGAATGTCATCGTCAGGACTTCCAATAAGGTAGACATCCCAACGATCCGCCCAAGGCAGATCTGACGCTTGCCATTCGACCTCAAAACTGTAAACGACATTCAAATCTTCTCCCGTGGCTCCCAATCGTAGTCTCAAATACGTGGATGGGTCGTTGTTGACTGGAGGTGCATCCGGGGCATTGCAGGTGGCCACCATGGACGTTGCCGTAATATCTGCCTTTTCGTCTCCCAACTCGTGCTTGATACTGACCGGATGTACATCGAATCCGGTAATCCGCACTCCCTCAAACGCCGCGGGGTCCTCTTGATAGGAAATGGTGAATTTGACGTGATTGTATAGATAAAACTCGTCCTCTTCCAAGCCAGTGTACGATGGAGGAGCTTTGAATCCGACGGGATATCCTCTTACGGCATAATTGAGTTCCTTGGACCTCATCAAGACGGGCAATTGATCGAGTGTCATTTGAATACGATATTGGCGTTCGACTAATTTTCGCATCCATCTGACCTTTTTGGATCCAATGCTGACTCTACAGAGTGGCTTGCAGGATTGGTTTTGTGTGACGCGTAGGGGAAAGGGTGCCGGCATGAGTTCATTTCCCTGCAGTCGGACCCCCAAATTTCGTCTCTGTTTCAAATTTTTCATCCACGCTTTTCCTTCTGGTTTGTGACAACCGGGTAAATCGTAGAATTCAAACGGCACCTGTGTCTTTTTGGAATGGACCAGATCGGTAATGGCCCAAATTTGTTCATTGGGCTGGTACGTTTCGGGAGATACTCCTGGGAATAGAATGGACGCCAAATCGGCTTGACGTCTTCGAAAGAGTCCCTTGCGTTTCTTTTTGCGGAGCTGGTAGTCTCTCATGGCGGCGGCCTCTTTGGTGTGTCCCACTTCGTCGACGCCTTGACGACGCAGTTCCATGTACTTTTTCGCTTCTTCTTTGGCCAATTCCATGCGCTCTTTGCGACTCAATTTCTTGCCGGGCGTGTAACCCTCCAACGCGTTCTTAATACTAGTAGACTCATCGTAGCCGGCTCCTGCTCCTGCGGATGCCAGAGTCGTGTCGGCCAGCAAGAGCAACGCCAGCAATGTCCGAATGAAATTCAAATTATTCATCGTGTGTGTGCTTTACTTTCCCTTGTCTTTTACGTCCACTTGTATTGTCTTCTCGTGACCACAATGCCTTCTATCTAGCTAGCTACTGGCCAGTTACTCGCTTCTTCTTCTTCTTCTTGTGATGGTGCTGCTGTGGGCACCGACGAGCTTGCAATGGCAACTGCTGGTCTGTCTTGGTTGTCCTTTACTTAGACCACTTTGGCGCTGTGAATACTCGCTGGTGGCGGATTTGATGGCGGCTTTGAAAAAGCGGTTCTGAAAACAGAGATCCAGAAGCAGTGTGCGACCATGTCTAGACTATTTGAATTCGAAATTAATTTTGTTTTTGGCCATCCATTTTCTGTGCTTTACAGGCAAGCGCAGTGCCGTCCAGCGCAGTGCAGTGCAGGCCATGGCAGACCAACCCAAAAGCAACAATGTTATAGTAAAGAGGAAGGGAAAGAAAGGAGAGGTGATCAAGTCTGTGATCCCATGGAAATGTTTTCCCCTGTTTTTCACTTCTCCAGAAGAAGACCAAATACTCCAGAATTTGCCGCTGTTCGACACAAACAAGCACAACCCTTTGAAAGCAACAACAGATGTAAGACAACAGTCTATTATTCCACCACCACCACCACCACAAGTTGAAAAACTCTTGAAACGGGCTTCTGCTGCCAGACAAAATACTGGATACAGCAATCTGTGGTCCATTTATACCATTGTCACTGCCATTTACATCGCCTTGCTGGGGATCAAGCCCACAGAACAACCAGAATCTTCCACAGTGAATCATAATAATAATATTAATAAAAATGATGATGAAGATGACGATCAAGAATTATCCTGCGAGGCTTGGACGTGGATTCAAGACCACATTTCATGGACCGATTGGAAACTACTGCATCGTCAAGTCAAGGAGCAGTTGATTCTAGTGTCGGCACCTCACCCATTGCTGACCTATGCGACGCAAACCGTGCCATTCCTGACACGCGATCAAGTTACCCAAGCAGTGCACCTACTGAAATTACAATCCAAATTTCATAGTGGCAGCATTTCAAGCAAGTCTTCTTCTTCTTCTGGGACCATGGCCATGAGATTGTCCCAGATATTGAAAGATGCACACGGCACTCGCAACTTCTTTGCAATTCTTCTGGCACCAATCTACAATACACCAACAAACGGATCCTCTTCTACTACAATACACAATGCCAATAATTGGACTGGAATCCGTCACTCCTGTCTTCCTGAAGCTACGTTGGAACTGGAATCCCCGACCAAAGCAAACCTCGTTGCCTTGTACGATCATGATTTGGACGTGAGTGGAGATCTTAACAACTCGATTACAATCTCCACCGTGCCGCTGGATCATGGACCCATGGAGCGAGAGGCTCGTCGTCGTTGTTGTCGATTGCCAGATATAGACGATTCTTTGTTCTGGGATTCTCATACACCACGTCCCTGTCTACTGTGTCGCCATGACACGAAACAATCCACGTGCCCGCTTGTCATGAGTTCCCGACAATCCACCAACACCGGGAAGGATCCTACATGTAGTATTACATGGAAGGAATCGGTCCGGTTGGGACATTATTACTTTCAAGAAGAACGATATTCCGACGCAAAGGCTTGCTACCAAGCAGCATTGGCTACCAACACTTCCGACAACGATGACATGCAAAATGATATTCGCCACGCGTTGGGGGCCTTGCAACTGGCCCAAGGCAAGTTTCTGGATGCACAATTGAGCTGGAAGAATGCTGCTGCTAAAGTGGATACAAGTATTGATGCTCATGGCGGGATTCAACTACAGCTCCAAAAACAGCAAGCATATCGGTACTTTTCTCCATCGCCGCAACAACAACAACAATCATCATTGGCAAAGAAGAAGACGCAAGCGTACAACTATCACTCCCATTTTGACGACCAGTGCTTCGTCACGCCCATGCTGAAAGCCACTACTTGTCAGGAGCTCATTGACATTGCAACACGGAATGGACAATGGACAACCGGCCGCCACTACGCCGTACCCACCAACGATATCCCTGTACACAAAATTCAAGGACTATTGGATTGGTTTGTGCCATGGATGGAAGAGCAATGCGCGCCACTCATGATGAAGCAATTCCGACTACTACCTAAGAAAGGAAAGGAACAGCGACAACGATTCTATGTGCACGACGCATTCTTTGTCCGATATCAAGGCAAATCGTCGTCATCAGCAGATGATAGCAGTCATCCGATTACCAACAATCACTTGCCCTGTCATCTGGATGAATGTACACATAGTGCTGTCATTTGTCTGAATGATGACTTTGAAGGAGGAGGGACGTACTTTCATGACTACGACACAGTCCTGTCTCCTAGCGTGGGGGAAGTGGTCACATTCAAAGGAGATTCGTTGCGTCACGGTGGGGATGCCGTGGTGAAGGGCACGAGATATATCCTAGCTGTGTTTCTTTACTTGGACCGCACCTACGACCCGGGCAACGAAGTTACTCCAGCAGCTGCCGCCGCAAAGTCGAATGGGAGCGGTGAGCCTAGCGGCCCGAAGCATCAAGTTCAGGCAGTCTTTCGTGAAGCCAAGAAGCAAAAGACTGGATTCTCGTTTGGTTTTGACATGGGATAGGTGTACTAGTACTTCTATTAGACTTGCATTGGGAAGATGTGCCTGTCACACCCTCCCAGGATGCCAGGACCGTCCGACGGTTTTCACACAGGATTTAAAAAATCTTGAAATTGCCACGACTGAATGACCGTTTAAAACAATCCCTTAAACAATCCCTTAACTCATCAACTATCCCTTAAACAATCCCTTAAATCTTGGACTATCCCCTAAACAATCCCTTAACGCCAAATGGACATACCATACAACTATCCCCTATTTCTTCAACTATCCCCTAAACAATCCCTTAAATAAACAATCCCTTAAATCTTTGACTATCCATTAAACAATCCCTTAAAAGAAACAATCCCTTAATTGTGCTGGTCAAGTTTTTGTCAGTCGTGGAAGCTTTTTAAATCCTGAGTGAAAACCGTCGGACGGTCCAGGAAGGCAACAGGTTGGCGATAGTTATTAGTTGCGTTTACATAGCAAAAGTCGTTGTAAAGTCGCTAAAGAACATTAAAGTCGCGGTAAAGTCGTGCGCGACTTTAAACGTCGTGGTCAAATGTAGCGATTCTGTTAGTAAAGTCGTGGTAAAGTCGCGAAAGAGCGCGACTTTCAAGAAAACACGACTTTATGACGTCACAGGGTGCCTTCCAGTGAAGCCGGTAAAAGATGCCTCCAATGAAATGTTATTGCTTTTAATACCGTTTTTAATCTGTACATATTCATCATACCAGTAAAATATAGAGGCAGGATGTACGGGCTGACGGGCTGACTTTATTCACCGCTGACAGGTGTCAAAATGGATTCTCGTTTTGGCCAAACCAAAATCTGAAGTCATTTTTAACAGAAGTGGTCATTTCGCGAATCCTGCATTGAAATGATTGGCTTACAAAAGAAAAATTTGAAGAAATAAAAATACATTTTATCACTACTGCAATACACGGCTCTTAGCCTTATTCGCGACTCGATCCTAGATAGGGTTTGAGTTCGACTCATGACCGAGTCTCTCGTGAATAGTCATTTGAGACAGGGTTCTCAATGACCGCGCTAGTCATACTAGGTTGATGATGAAACATCGCTCTAGATATTTAGCCAGCGTGGAGGACTTCCACGCTACTAGATCCAGGCTAGACAAACCTTCCACGCGTTCCGTTTTGGGATCGTGGAGAGACGTAGGATTACTACCACAACCTACTCTATCACACTTTATAGTCTCCCGCGGGAAGCCAGATCTACGATCCCTTGATGAAGATTGATCTCTCTCGTTGATTAGTTCATAGCTTTCTAATCTCTCTCATAACTTTCATTCTCTCAAACTCAAAACACTCGAAAGATCTTTACACTAGCTTTTAGCGTAGTGCACTACTAGTATGGCAACAGAGTTAACCAAATGGCCATTAGCTTATATGTATCGAAGTGGACAACAAAGCCCTCGACAATTTCTACAACCTTATTCACCAGAAGGAAGTTGAGACCGTGCCACATGTTGTTGGGGCGTTGTACTGTGGGAAACATTTTCGGAAGTATTCCCCCGCTATGCCAACATTGTTACAGGCAACCTTCATACCCGAACAAAACATAGAAGGAGTCTGGGTGGATGGACTTCAACGAATGGTGCAAGACTCCATGAAGGCCGATCCAGCTTCCAAAGGGGATGCATCAGATGCTGCTGCAACATTTGTGAGCCAAATCAAGAATACATATCTTCAATTGATGGGTGAGGAAGAGGGCAAAGAAAGTCAGGAAGGGTACGAATTGCACTTATCTTGCTCCGTTATTCAGAGGAAAGTGGACACCGATGCCACTTTTACCACTATGCCGCATTGTATTGGACACCATTCCCTGTACTGGGATGGAAATAAAAACAAGTTCGTCAAGATGCCTCTCCATCAGCATGGTGTTTGGAGTCATTACTACACCAATACAAACGACATTATCGGTAATCTTGTTTTCGGTTCTCATGGATCTGCCGTCTTTGGTCCTCTTTCCATGTGTCACATGGCTGGGCACATCACCCATATTGAGGGGAACCCGTACTTGTTTTTCACAGTGCTCTCAGCATGCAAGAAGAAGAAGAGCATTACGGCAGGTGAAGACGGTGAGAGTTATCGGCCTCTGATGACAAAGGCACTGAAGACGCCGAAACAGACATCAAAGCCAAGTTCGAATAATGGGAGAAGAAACTTGTACGGGACTATCCGCACCTGCGTCACACCAGCATTGAGGCTCACCTCAAACTGAAGGACCTTACTGGGCCTAAGTGGGATGACTTGGAGTTCCTCCATATGGTTCCATTCGTGCCTTGAACTCTGCTTTTGTGGGGGGTGATGCACACTGTTTGAGGTGCAACGGTACTATCGCTAGTTGTCAATTGGGGTCCCCAGTTTCATTCAACAGTCATCACCAGTCCTGCCACCCCCCACTTGCAGAGTTAACATAACGTCCTTCCTCCAAGTGACACATCCAGTTTCCACTGAAAACAAGCTCCTACGACGTTTATGACAACCACCAAGCCAAACGTCCATGCCACAACAGCAAAAATGTCATGTCGCATTATAACGTAGGATTTCAGTTTTCAGATGTACTGGTAGCCTTTATGGTTACCGGCATTACACTGGATTAATCTGTTAATGGTCGTACGGGGAAACGAACGATAGATGGACTACAATGGATGGAGGCGCTGTCCAGAAATGGGATGGAAGCGTCCGAATGTCTGAGGTGTGCTTTATAGTATTAGTGCAATCCACGTCTCAGAAAAGGGACGCTACGAACCCTAACCTTAACCTATGATGCATCGCGAATAGCGCTCACTCGTGATTCATACTCTGGAATGAATACTTGGTGGTCGAAATGGCCTATGTCATGTACATGTAGGTCTAATTCGGAACGAGCACTATGGCTGGGATTGCCTTACCACATTTTGTTAGGTATTTTAATATAGCAGCCATCGATTTAATTCTTTCGATTTTTTCTTCTTTGTGGCGAGATCTGTGGCCTTGCAAGTGGGGTTGAGTTTCACTCTTTTCACTGACTTCTTCTTTGGACGATTTCTCTGCCGATAAACATTTGCGTAAGGAGTTGAAAGAAGAGGCGGATGAGAGCTAACTTCTAAGAATCCAGAATTTTCATTCATTCCTTCAAATATGTGATACCAGTTTCGATCTTTACATTGAATTGGGATATGAGATTTAGTGTAGAGTATCCAATCGCGGTGTATTTATTTAGTATTGCGTTTCAATGTTTTCTATTGCTATATATGTAGATGCTGTATGTACCCGAATTCTTTTTCGAGTGACTATGATAAATGTAATGAGGTCATTGAGATCATAATTCCAATCGAGTTCGAGCTCATGATTTATCTTGAAGTACTAGTAGAGCATGATTCACGTTCTCTTTATTTCCGGAATGTTGAGTCGTCGTCAGAATCGGGGACGTTTTGAGTCAGCGTATGTAGGATAACTCGCGTTGGGAATGCAGTGTGGTTTGCCGAGGGGAGTATCGGAAAATGAGGCATTCCATGTCAAATTGAACCAAGACTCAATTTTGATGATTTTGACATTTTTTTGATTTTTTGAAAGTCAAAACGGTTGGACACCTAAGACGTGTCACACTAAAATCCAGATCCGGCATGTCCGTCGTCCGGTTGGTCATAAATTCAACTGCCCCACTTATATAACATCACTAAAATCAGAATTAAAAACGCTTTCCAGTGGTGTGCTATTTTTTTATATCTCGCCGTATTGGAAGAACACCGTAGAGCACTGAAACAAAATATTTCCCGCTGTAGCCCTTGGTACATAATCTATGTGATATTAGAGATAAAGATAACATTTAATTGTCCAAAGTCATTCGTGCACTCCGGACCATGACAGACGGTGCCGTCTGGAAAATTATGTGACACGTCTTACCTGTCAACATCAAAATTGACAAATTGACGCAAATCAGCAAAACCAACGTCAATCCGCATCAGTTTCAATTCATTTATTTTTATTTTTGAGGATTTTTTGACTCAACAGTGATCAATGCTAATCAAAATGGATCAAAATTGACAAATTGAACTTTTGATTTGAGAACAACTGGCAACACACACTCCGCCAAAGGATGGACTGCTGTACCGGTAACAGTATGGACTGTACTGGTAGGTGGTGATTGCAACACATGTATAGGATCATACGAGTACCCCCCTATGGCGGCAACAACGAAGCGGTTGTAGTCGTAGTAGAGGCGTCATGGTCTTTTTTTTTTGTGGGAAGCATTGATCCGTTGCTCGACTTGCTGTCATCGTTTCATTCGCTCTGATAGATCGCTCCGGTAGATTGAACTCTACATAGAGTAGTAGCCGCTTGTTGCAGGTGTCGATTCATGGAAGAGGGGAAAAGTTCATGCCTCATAGATTGTCGAGTCCAAAGACACCGACATCTGATAGCGTTATGCCAAACAATCGAATCGCAGCTGTCCACTGCCCAAACATTGAGTCACAGAAGTGTGGACAGAATTGATCCGTCGAACGCTCACTGCGGCGGCTGCTTCTAATCCAACAAGAGGAGCCTGTCATGGTGGTGATATGGCAGCAGTCATGAGAGAGAAGTAGCCGCTGTGAGAGTCTCAGTTACATCAGCAGCTGTCAGCAGCACATCAAACGTCCTGTCAAAACTGTCAAGGAAATATCAAAATTGATTCAAAGAAAACTTTTCAACATCCAATTGAGGATTTTTGAGTCAATCAGAGTCAATCAAAGTCAAAATTGATCATCAAGCAATGTTGATTAGTTTGATATTTTGATGTCAACACTGACAAATTGATTCTTGTTGACATCAATTGATCAAATTGATTAACATTGACAAATTGATGGTTTTGAGTCTTGTCAAAAGTGTCAGTAACCATCAATTGACAATATTGACATCAAAATATCAATTTGACACCAAATGCCTCATTTCCTGATACTCAAGGGATTTCGAGCGCTTTGCTGGTGAAGATAGACCTGTCAACAGGGTGAAGTGTTCTTGTTGAAAACTAATGGATATGAAAATGGGACTCAATAATAGCTGAGATTAGCATCTCGTCGACGTCGCTATTGCCATCTGTGCTAGCCTCGAGTAACTGGCGTGGGGTGTAGCTGGAGATTATGATGAACTCGTTGTAGGATAGGGAAACTGTACTACTTTTGACTTCTCCTTGGACAGGATACATCCACCCATTGCTTTAGAAAAGTTCATGCTTTGAATGACTTGTCTAAGTCATCTATTAAGACGTATTTCTTGCTGGCATATTAGTCCCACCATTTGTTGTAGTGTTTGTTGAACACAGTTCACCTTCTGCTCTGATACGGGCGCATAACGACTTTCCAGTATTAGGAGGTCCGTGGAGC